ACTCGTGATCCTTCTCAGCACAAATCAGTGCCGCAACGAAATCCAAACTTCATACGTCATGTAGTGAGTAGCTATGACGAAATGGGAAGTTTGGCCCGGACCTACTTCGCCCGTTTGCCCAATTTGGGGTCTTTCTTTACGAATCCACGGCCAGGTATTAGAGAGGTTAAGATGCACGTTATTTCCGACGTGACGCGCAATTTGACGTCAAATTTGGCGTAAAACTCCAAATTTCGACGCGAGCAGCAGGTCACTCGCGATGATTTTTTGACGTGCGCATGCGAGCAAATAACGCGAGCTGAACTTTCGCGTCACGTCAGAAATAACGTGCATCTTAACCTCTCTATTGTACGTAACACGCCTGGAAAGGCTCAAGTACACAAAGAATTATTTTAGAGTTGTCGAACAGTTTTCTCTTTTGAGTGTCTCTCCGATAAGAGAAGAACAATGGCCACTGTTGAACCTAAAGCAAAGCGCTCCCCATTGTCGCCGGAGTGCAGTGTCTCTGTGGACGATAATCGTCAGTTTTTGCTCGATCTGGGCTCCTCATTTTCTTCTCTCGATTGTCGAGTGTTGGAAATTGTACCAAAATGGGACTGAGGAGCAGGTTGAAGCACATCTACTTCGAAATCGATCGGGTCTTCATGCCGTGTACCAAGAGCTATTTCCATCAAATCTTGTAAATCTATATCCATGCCTATTCTTGCTATCCCGGAGTCACGAACTCTCCCAATACAAGCTTTTCAGACAACGAGCAGAGAAACTCTCTTCAAATAAAAAAATTCTGTGACTGTGAAATCAAAGCCGTTCTGCTGACACTGCATAGCCCGTTGAGCAAACGTTTTACGTGACACTTCCGTGGCTTGCTTCAAAGCAACCTTCAAGTAAGTTACTTGGAACCCCCGCCGGATGTACCAGATATGCACATGGCCCCATCCGCCCATGCTTGCCCGGGGACCGGATGACGCAATGTTTGGATTTCGTTGCGCCAGACCCCAACCTGGAGTTGCACACTCTGGGGGGTTATGGACTCTTGAGTGAACTGATAATGATGTATTCATGTAATGAATTCAGTTTAGCGTAGGCGCACATCTCGCAACTACGTATCTGCTGCGCTACAGCGCCCTCTACGGTTCTGGCCGCGGCACTTGTTTAGCGCGCCTTGCCGCGACCGGCAAGACCGCCTGCTGTGCATCACATTAATTTATGCGTACGCCATCACAATAATTAATTCAGTTTTGATCGGGTCCGAGTCCGCAACGTGGCACATCTCCTTGCCATTCTCAGTTTTGAGTCTTCTCTGCTTTGGCTCATGCCCGACTTGCATCCTGCTGCCTTTGTCTTTTGCTGACCGAACTGTCATTGCCTAGTCATGTCGGGCACCAGGAAGAGAACCCGTCGCGCAGCACCTAGCCCTGTTCCCGACCCACCTGTTTCTTCGGCTGCGGACCCCGAGCTGCCGAGTAACGCTGCCTCACCACTCGACGGCGGACAATTCAAGCAATTTATATCTGACGAAGTCCAGAAAGCCGTCACCGCCGCCCTGGCAGAAACGGTCTCCCCACTGCTTGCCACCATCGGATCCTCGCAGCCTTCCCCCGCCATGGCCGTACCCACCGGAAATGCTGCGCCAACTGGTCCGGGTGCTGGCTCTCTATCTCATCCACTGAACGTGCCGTCTCACGTGAGAGAGAGGATTTTGCGAGGTGAGTGTGTTGATTTGAATACACTGTTACCGGAAGCTCTTGGGGCACCAAAGCGTGACACGATTCAGTTGAATTTCAGTGGGTCCAGGACTGTTGAGCTGCTGGATCCCAGCTCTGGCGGGCATGTCGAGAAAGTTCGTAGGCATGTTCACGACCTGGTTACATGGCTAGAAGCCTGGTCCAGATATATGTTCGTACTATGCTCGCACGCACCCAGCCGTTTCTCCGAACTGATGGCATATCAGGCCACCATTGTATCGGCCAACTCCTCATACTATCCGGAGGCCTGGCTCGAATATGACCGGGAGTTCCGTCTGGCAATCTCTCTTGACCCCAGTAAGCGTTGGGACGCCATTGACGGCAATCTCTGGCAACTGAAAATGACAGGCCGCTCACGCCCGCAGTGTAGCACATGCCGGATCACTCACCCTCCATCGGGTAGCCAGTGCCCTTTTCGTGCCTCCCGAGTACCAAACCAGCAGTTTGCACCACGGTCTGCCTACACCAAGTCTGGCAAAGAGATCTGCCGGAATTTCCAGCAAGGTCGATGCTCCAACACCGACTGTAAATTTGCCCACGTCTGCTCCCAATGTGAGGGCGCACATGCCCGCCCCTCCTGCCCGCGTCGCTTCTCCACTGGCAACCAGCGGCAGAACAAAGCTTAATGAACTGCATCTCGATAGTAGCATTCTCCGGACACACCCTACATTCTTTCACACTTGCCGCACACCTATTCACGTTAATCGCCTCCGTTCCTTACTGCGTGCACACCCCGATCAAGCTTTTGTTAAATATGTACTTCATGGCCTTACGTATGGTTTTGACATCGGCTTCAATGGCCCACGCCAAAGCAGCATGTTCTCCCCTAACTTACCTTCTGCGAGGATGCATCCCGATTTTATTACCAAATACCTGCAAGAATGTTGCTCCCGCTTTGAACTGCTAGGTCCTTTTTCCTCCTCGCTTTTTCCTTTTTTTCATTGCTCCGGTGTTGGCTGCGTTCCGAAAAAGAACGGCCGCTTCCGTTTAATCCACCATCTCTCTAGCCCAGAGGGTCAAAGTGTTAACGATGGAATTTCACGTGAAGATTTCAGCTTGCATTACATCACTATTGATCACGCGATCGATGCCATTATGCAGTACGGTCGTTCTGCTTATCTTTTCAAACTTGACATTCGGAGTGCTTTCCGCATTGTACCTGTGCGGCAGGAAGACTGGCCTCTGCTAGGTATTCACTGGCAAAACCAATATTATTTCGACACTGTGCTCCCCTTTGGCTTACGCTCCAGCCCTGCCATTTTTAACTCTATTGCCGACTGCCTTGAATGGATTGCTCGCTATGAGTTTTCTATTACTGACCTGCTCCATTATCTAGATGATTTCCTTTGCATTTCTCCATCGGAGCTGGTGGCGAACCAACGTGCTTCAATCCTGCTTCGCTGTTTTAACTATGTCCAAGTCCCCTTGGCACCTGACAAAGTGGAAGGTCCAGCTCAAGTGCTGTCGTTCCTGGGCATCGAGCTGGACTGTGGCAGACTGGAGGCCCGGCTACCAGACACCAAGTTGCAAGATCTCCGCACCTTGCTCGACCAGTATGTCAACCGTGGCGACATGACCCAACGCGAACTCGACTCACTATTGGGAAAACTCTCCTTCGCAGCTCGGGTAATTATACCTGGTCGGACATTCATGCGCCGACTCTGGGATATTTGTCACCGCTACAGTCAGCCACACTATAAGATCAAACTCTCAGTCGAGGCCCTGGAAGACCTGAAGTGGTGGCAACGCCTCCTCTCGCAATGGAACGGAAAGTCCTTCTTTCATATGCCAAATTGGACCCCGTCTCCCGACATCCAATTGTTTACTGATGCCAGCGGTTCGATCGGCTGGGGCGCATGTTATGGCCATCGCTGGATCCAGGGACAGTGGTTGCCGGAACAAGCCGACTACTCCATCGAGTGGAAGGAGATGTTCGCCATTGCCGCAGCTTGCTCCTCCTGGGGCCTTGAATGGCGCAAGCTCCGCATACTCGTGTACTGTGATAACGAAGCCGTAGTGACATGCCTGTCCAATGGTTGTAGCCGCTCCCCCCCCAGTCATGGACCTGATACGACGGCTGTTCTTCATGTGCGCTAACTTTGGCTTCATTCTGTCAGCAAAGCATATTCCAGGATGCACTAACAAAGCCGCTGATGCTCTGTCTCGTTTTAACATGCAGGCGTTTCGCGAGGCGGTTCCGGGAGCTCGGGCGACAGCCGACCTGTTCCAGTCATTCTAACTGCCGCGGACGAATTAGCAGCACGATATGCTGCTCACGCTCTATCCGACAACACCAGACGAACGTATTCCGCCGGCGAATCTAAGTATCTCAAGTTCTGCCAACTTCAAAGATGGTCCCCGTTTCCCGCTTCAGACCTAATGCTGAGTAGTTTTGCTGCCTCCCTAACCCAGTCGGTCAGACCCGTGACTATTAAGGTTTACCTCAGTGCTATCAAGAACCTGCACCTGGAGCTCGGTTATGTCGACCCGACCGAGGGCGCGCACTTCCTCAAGCGAGTGGTACGCGGTATTTGCCGTTGCCATGGAGTAGCCGCTGTCCGCCCCAGGCTGCCAATCACGTTTCCTATTCTCTGCAGTCTGGTTGACACCTGCCTAGCTGCTCCAACCATGTGCCCTCACGACAAGCGCTGCCTGCATGCCGCTATGCTTGCCGTGTTCTTTGGTTTCTTCAGATGCGGTGAACTGCTAGAAGCACCTACCACGCGCGGCTGTTTGACATTCGAGTCAGGGATGCTCCATGTGCACCTACCACGCTCGAAGACAGACCCGTCCGGGGAAGGTACGACGGTGCTGATCGGGCCAGCGGTGCCGCCATACTGCGCTGTGAGAGCCATGCTCACCTACCTCACTGCAACCGCCTCTGCTCGTCCAGGCAGTGCTGTGTTCATCCTGGCCAACGGGCAACGCCTCATCCGCAGCACTTTTACAGCCCACGTACGCACGCTGCTTAGCACCAGCGGCGTGGCAAACTGGCAGGACTATGCAGGCCACAGCTTCCGTATCGGGGCCGCTACCACTGCTGCCCTTGCTGGCGTCCCCGACCACCAGATCCGCTCCGCGGGACGGTGGCGCAGTGATGCATGCCTACGCTACATCCGGACACCACCGTCATCGGCCCGAACGCTGGCCAGCAAACTATCCTCAGTAAGATCATCTCCCTGACACCGATGTTTCTCAATTCACACAATTCCCTCATAATGAACTATGCTATGCTGCACTGCAATACTGTTGTGTATGGGTATGTACTGGCGGTATGGCGAGTCACTCATAACTGGTCTGCCTTTCTATTGCGGCATTATGGCCTTATGGTCCTGCCTTTCCATTGCGGCAATCACAGCCTCCGGGCTTCTGCCTTCCTGCGGCAATCACAGCCTCCGGGCTTCTGCCTTTCTGCGGCACTCGCAGCCTCACGGGCTCGTGCCTACCTTGCGGCAAAGACCAACCAGTTCCTCGTCACCAGTACTTACCCAACACAACCTAGCCTTATTCGTGTGGTGTATGCCTGTCTGCATGCCGTCTGTGTGCGCGGAATGCTAATGATGTATGCCTGCCTGCATGCCGTCTGCGTGCGCGGAATGCTAATGATGTATTCATGTAATGAATTCAGTTTAGCGTAGGCGCACATCTCGCAACTACGTATCTGCTGCGCTACAGCGCCCTCTACGGTTCTGGCCGCGGCACTTGTTTAGCGCGCCTTGCCGCGACCGGCAAGACCGCCTGCTGTGCATCACATTAATTTATGCGTACGCCATCACAATAATTAATTCAGTTTTGATCGGGTCCGAGTCCGCAACGTGGCACATCTCCTTGCCATTCTCAGTTTTGAGTCTTCTCTGCTTTGGCTCATGCCCGACTTGCATCCTGCTGCCTTTGTCTTTTGCTGACCCACCATCCCACCACTAACCATTAATACTACATTGCATCATTCCTACTTCAAGTACAATAAACCTGGTGGCGAGTCACTCATAACTGGTCTGCCTTTCTATTGCGGCATTATGGCCTTATGGTCCTGCCTTTCCATTGCGGCAATCACAGCCTCCGGGCTTCTGCCTTCCTGCGGCAATCACAGCCTCCGGGCTTCTGCCTTTCTGCGGCACTCGCAGCCTCACGGGCTCGTGCCTACCTTGCGGCAAAGACCAACCAGTTCCTCGTCACCAGTACTTACCCAACACAACCTAGCCTTATTCGTGTGGTGTATGCCTGTCTGCATGCCGTCTGTGTGCGCGGAATGCTAATGATGTATGCCTGCCTGCATGCCGTCTGCGTGCGCGGAATGCTAATCGGATTTTAAGGCTGAGCGAAGGGGATCAAAGAGGGGTAGAAGGGAGCTGGAGTGCGGTCAGTATAATTAGGCTGGTATGTTGGCAGAGATCATAGCCTGTCTGTGGCCCACTCCCACTTGCTGCGCCGCAAGTGGTCGTTGACGTTTTTCTTGAACGTGTGCATGCCTCTGCGAGAAGGGGGAGACTGCAGAAGGGTAGGTGGGAGCTGATTCCACGTTGCGATGAGAGAGTGGGGAAATGAGCGGAGCGTGTTGTTTCGTGCCTGAGGAGGAAGGATACTGGTGAGTTGCGATGGATGATGTGTTACAGATCTGGTTGTCTCACGAGTAGGCATGCGGTGTTGCGGTGCGGCTGCTGATGGTGGCAGAATGGCTTTCACCATTTCCGGACCCTCCACAAAGTGCAGCTTGTACAGAAAGAAGAGCCCTGCTACGGTACGGCGAATGTAGCTAGCTCGATCGAACCGCACACGGGCTGGACTTAGTAGTAGTAGTAGTAGTAGTAGTAGTAGTAGTAGTAGTAGTAGTAGTAGTAGTAGTAGTAGTAGTAGTAGTAGTAGTAGTAGTAGTAGTATTTATTATTTGACTAGGGGAGTCCCAACAGGCATGGCCTTGTTACAGGGAACCCTAGGTGAATCTTTGTGAGGTGAGCAAAAGTACCAGCAGATTGTGCCTGACGACGAATGTACGCGTGGAAGTCAGATCCGGCGTGACGTCACTCGGCACTTCGGGACAATGTTGGGCACCTTCTTTTCAAGTTTTCACCCACTTCCAGTCATCGCAGAGAAAAACGAATAACACCATCGTGATCAGGAGCCAAAGAACTACAAGATAAGACAAAAAAAATTGGTGACAGTTGAAGGTCACTGTGCTGATATAATTATCACTGTACAAACTTGTTTTTGTATCTATGTCATTCGGATCTTCCCAAGTTGTACAATGTACTGTTGAGATACCGAATTCAAATAAATCAATACCATACCAATCAACTACAGTAAAGTCGAGGATAAAAGCCGGGTTTGCATACAAGCACATCGCGGATAGAAGCCTGAAAATCAAACGGGTCAAATGCATATAAGCCTGTCGCGCGTAGAAGCCTGGCTTCTATGCAAACGCGGATCGGGTAGGTCAAGTGTGCATTGTGCTATGTACGGTGCATAGTAAAACTGCCGCCATACAGGTAGTGGTAGATCTACGCATGTCGCGCGTAGAAGCCTGGCTTCTACGCAAGTGTGGTGCATATAACCATGGTTTGCATACAAGTCTGGTTTGCATTAAAGCCTAATGCAGAAAGCGGCTTATATGCTTATAAGCCCGGCTTTTATCCGCGACTTTACGGTATTCTGTACAATCAACTTCAAAAGAATGAGATCTTCTCGTTTTCTCAGCCATGACCAACTTTCGCTATCCCCATAGCAACGATTGTTGTGAAAATGATGGAAAGTTTAAAAGTAGCCTGTCGAGTTTGTGCCCAGTTTAAATGGCAGTTATAGCACTTTCTGATTGCTTATTGTCTTGCTATAGTGGTGGGCAGTTGCTTCATAACTCGTACCCTTTCTGTCTTCTCCGCAATTTAAAATGAAAGAAAGTTTTGGACTCGGATGAAGAGCCAAGGATATATTTATAGAAAAAGGACCAAGTGGAGTTAGTGGGCATTATAGTGTAAGTAGTAGCTCCTTGGTCCTTTTTCTTTTCTATGAAAGAAAATGTTGTGCTTTTTCCCTTCTTTTGACATTACAGCGGCGACTTGGAATGATTGTGATGATGGAAAAACACAAATTTATACCAACCAAACGATCTCGGACTGGATAAGTACGGAGAAACATTGTCAAACAATAGGTGGTCACCTTATCAGCCATGAACAGGCTCAGGCGTGCCACAAACAAATCACCAAACAGACATATTCCTACCCGAGCAAGAGATATGTTAACATCGGCTCCACAAGATTGGTCGATGCACCACACTTCCGCTCTGTTGGCAACAACTTGAAGGTTGATAACTTTCTTCCTATCCATATCGTTGAGCCGTATTCTAAAAGAAACAACGTGTTGAGCTGTGCAAAATCGACAGTGACTGGCAATAGGAAGTCTGCTGTGCATTGCCAAATCGATGACCTCACCTGGTGGCACTGAGGACCAGTACGGTTTGCGCAAGGTCCAACCCATTTCCCTATAGTATGCGCCCGCAAGAAAGGTAAGATCTAGGTCAGGAGTCAGGGACGTGAATACTTGTTTCACACGTTCAGCTGGTCTAGACAGTCCTGGACTTTTTGCTGTTCCATTCCTAGCAACTTAACTTCTTCGACTTGCTCACAGATTTGATTACTAGTTACCGTATTTCCGCCCAAACAAGTGCATGGGCTTGCAGGGCATCCGTTTTTAATCCATCCGTTCTTAATCCATCCGTTTTTAATCCACCCATTTTTAAACCACCCATTTTTAATTCACACATTTTTAATCCACCCATTTTTGATCCATCCTTTAAGGGGGCAGCCTACCCATAAATTTCATATGGCATTCAATTGACCGTAACTTTGGTGTTTCTCGATGGATTTGAGTGAAATTTTGACCACACACTCCTGCCACTATGCTGGCCCTCAGGACATGATTTACAAGTTCTTGCGCCTCGCTGACAGGCTTTCCAGGCCGGAAAAACTCAAATTTCCGGCATAGTGCCACGGTGTGCGAGCCACCCAGGAGCCAAACAAATGCATTTACAATTTTTTCACATTTTCGTGCCCATTCTGTCCGTGCGCGGAACCCAAACCTAAAACAAGTCCAGAAGCAACCATGGGTGGTGGGGTAGGGCCCCTCAACGTGGCCCTGGAATCTGTCACAACGGAACGAGTGGGCGTTCTCTCGCGGACTCCCACAGACCCAAGTCAATTTTTGAATTTTTTTAAGTTTAGCACGTGCTACGAGGTCGTACCTTTGATACAACATCCAGTGCTGGGACCTCCACAGCAAGCCATTTCCACAGCGCTGCACACCAAATCCAGGATGCCCTCAGAAACCGGCAAAGACTGCCACTCACGTTTCACTACTGCCTAGTACTGAATCCTACCTGACTTCTTGACACGACTCAAACTTGCCAAAGTCACTAAATCAACGTCAACTACAATAATCAAGCCACATATCTGCAACGTCACGAGGGTGCTGGCAAAAGTCCTGCTGCACGGCGGCGGGCTTCGCCCGCCGCCGTGCAGCCCAATACGTGGTTTTTAACGTGATTTTTTGGACTTTTTTGGACTTGGGGCAAAATTCTGTACACTTTCGCGTGTTTCCATAATACGACAAGTTGCGCACGGTCTGCTCACATTCAAATACAGTGCTGCCAACAAATGACAGCATGCAACAAAAAAATCTTTCCTTGCAAGGGCACATTTTCGGCCATAACTCTTGAACGGCTGGTCAGATAGGGACACAATTTTCAGAGAATTTGCAGCTATTCATGCTCTTTCAACTGACGTAGCACTCAATATGAATTTACAAATTCGATTTTTCAGCGAATTTTTGGGTAGTCTGCCACCTTAACATTCCAAGTGTAAATACCACAGGGAACCTAAGAACCTAAAATTGAGAAAAATCAATAAGATGATCTGGCCATCCTTTGGCTGGTGTTTTCCGTGCATGGTATCTTAGAATGCTTCGATGTTTACCTTTATGCATCAGGAGAGAGCCCCGTCACCTCCAATTGTGTCGCCAATGGACAGACCGGCATCTACCTCTACCACACGATTGCCTTTGGTTTCGAGCATGCTCTAGAGGCCTGTAAACTGCGCGGTGGCCGACCTATTCTCTCATCGGGTGGCGAGAGAGCATGCGCAGCCAAACTCCTGACCGAATCCAAAATCCTGCGCGATAATGATGTGAGCGGCGTGGAACTGTTCACCAACGATACAACCCTTGAGTCGGGAAAGAGGTTCTGTCACTACCTCAAGGTATCCACCAATACCGCGGTGAAATACGAATGCAACTTGAACAAGCCAGTGGTTTGCGTGAGCTGTAAGATTTATTTATTAACTCTTTTTTTTACAAAAACACACACACACATTATATGAGGGCACAAAGCAGCAAGGCAGTGATGACAAATAATTATATAGAATGGCAGGAATGTGGAGAGGCAGCAGGGAGTACTGGCAATTCACAAGGGCATGCTGGTGCATGCATGCATGTGAGGTTGATCTTTTCGCCGCCTTTGGTCAGTTCTGAAAGCTGCGCCAGCCTCAGCAGTGCAATCCATACGATCCAAAGCATAATCTTGTAGTACTTTTCCTGATGACAAGAATGGCTTATGGCTCAGATGGGGTCCTGTGATGGGGACCTGTGACGTGGGGGGGGGGGGGGGGCGACCTGTGATGGGTGGTGGGACCTGTAACGGGGGACCTGTGACGGGGGGACCTGTGATGGGAAACTGAATGATGTACCTTATAACACTGGCCTCAGTTGAAAAAGAAGGGCCTGGTGGATCGTACCACACTTCTCCTAACACCTCAAGCTGGGAAAACCTGCCGCACTCCTGGTGAAATAAACCCCTTGTGCAGCTACCCAAATTGCCGGGGGAGCTATCTGCCAGTGCCTATTCTTGCTGGGCTGCATGCAGATAAAATGAATGACGACCACCATGCTCCTTATTCAAGCACTTTGTGTTCCGCTGGTTTCTGTTCTCGCACTGCAGCTAAGGCACGGAGCGCCGATAGTGGAGATTTGCCACAACCGTCGCTTGAAGTGGAAGAAGGTATGTGATTGGTGAAAATACAGGCGAAGAAAGGTGTCAGTGCTTCGTTGCAGGGGTAGCTCACCCCTACTGTGATAAGATTTCTGCAGCACCAAACAAAGGCTCTTCACTGAGAGTCATTTTGCATTCTACCCAATTTTCGGGCATGACCTGGCCCAGCATTGGGGTAAAGGGGGTGCAGGAAAAGCAGAATCCACTCGAGAAAGACGTCTTGCTCCATTTTCCACACTAGTTTGTCTTACGTACCTTTTCTCAGTGTAGAATTCGAGCGCGAAGTGCAGACTGCACATACCTAGTCTAAATGTATATGCAACACACTTCCAGTCTTGCTGAAATCCCTTTTGTGTCGCAACCCAAGCTGCCTGGGGAACTATCTACCATTGCCGATTCCCGGGCTGCGCGGAGATAAAATGGATGACGATATACCGTGCTCTTGTTTGCATGCGGTGCTGCAAGCACATTGTGTTTCACTGGTCCTTTTCTCTCGCCACAGATGTGGCACCAAGCTCCGATAGAGAAACGCCCACAGCAGAAGAAGAAGGTATGTCACTCGTGAAGCACAGGCGAAGGGAGGTGTCTGTGCTTGACTATCGTTGTAGGGGGAACTCAGTTATCACAAGCTCTAATATGACACTGGGGCATTGCACACGGTACGGTCACTACGGTATTGACTGTACCACTGTTTGCACCAAGTACCAAGTGAATCAATAGAAAATGCACTGATTTGGGCTCTGAATTTCCAAAATTCTCGGCTAAGCCACACTTCCCTCACGAGTAAATTGTATAGTTCAGATGACTGACCGTACCACGCTAAAATACCTTCCGATACCCCTGTGACATGCTTATTCAACTTCAACACACAGCCTCACACACAGGCCACAGTCTCTTCACTGCTTCACTTTACATTTCACCAAGTTTTCGGGCCCGGCCACGGCGGTAAACACTCCACTCCATTTTTTTTACCTCATTTTCAACATTTGATTTACTTTCGTAAATTTGCTCTTGGCAGACTTCTAGCACGAAGTGCAGGATGCAGATACCCAGTCTAAATATATATGCGCTGCGTACTTATTTTATAATAGCAATAAAGAGAACAAATTCTGCAGTCATCGCCACACTACAACGAAGTCATGAAAGTTTACCAGAATTAATTTTCTTGTCACATTCATCAGTGGAAAGTCGTGACTGAAGAGTAACCATGCTGAACAATGATTAAATATACATTCAATGATGTGTTTCGAGAACAAAATACAGTGCCAAAATAGAATGAGGGAAGGTGTGACAATAGAAGTGAAGTGAGAGCTAAGTGCAACGGCGGGTGAGAAACTAATTATAACGCTAAAACTGTGTAGTGAGACAAACAATCATGCTGTGCACCTACGAAAACAATTTTAACGCAACTACATGTTTCTTCTGCTTACAAAGATCAGGCTTATGCAAACGAATACTTGAAGTACAAACAGCCTCAAGTACTTTCAACTGACTAGCATACCATGCTAGACAAAGAACAGAAAAACTAAAATCATCATACACCTGCAGACACTTAGGGTGAGACAACTAGTGAAGAAAAACGGCAGACTTCTTACGATCACAATCACCATCTGAATCCTCGTCTCCAACAACCGCAACCTCGTCCTCCGTCTCATCTCCCAACTCGTCCTCAGTGTCGTCCTCCGTGTCATTCTCCTCATCAACACCGATCGGTCCCAGGCTCGCTTCATGTTGTTTAACCTCTGTTCGTTGACTCCTCCTTTGATCTTGATGGTAAATTGTTACCATTGTTGTTGTGGTTGTTGTTGTTGTTGTTGTTGTTGTTGTTGTTGTTGTTGTTGTTGTTGTTGTTGTTGTTGTTGTTGTTGTTGTTGTTGTTGTTGCTGTTGCTGTTGCTGTTGCTGTTGCTGTTGCTGGTGCTGTTGCTGTTGCTGTTGCTGTTGCTGTTGCTGTTGCTGTTGCTGTTGCTGTTGCTGTTGCTGTTGCTGTTGCTGTTGCTGTTGCTGTTGCTGTTGCTGTTGCTGTTGCTGTTGCTGTTGCTGTTGCTGTCGCTGTCGCTGTCGCTGTCGCTGTCGCTGTCGCTGTCGCTGTCGCTGTCGCTGTCGCTGTCGCTGTCGCTGTCGCTGTCGCTGTCGCTGTCGCTGTCGCTGTCGCTGTCGCTGTCGCTGTCGCTGTCGCTGTCGCTGTCGCTGTCGCTGTCGCTGTCGCTGTCGCTGTCGCTGTCGCTGTCGTTGTCGTTGTCGTTGTTGTTGTTGTTGTTGTTGTTGTTGTTGTTGTTGTTAAATCTTGTGTTCCCAGTGTCCTCGCCGGTGCTTGACCTCCAGTACTGTAATAATTCATTGAATAATTAGCCGTTGATCGTCTAGGTCTTTGAATGTTGATTGTGTTAGTAGGGAGGTTCTGCTATACGTGAAACGTAGAGAAATCACGTAGAGAGCAGGTGTCTGGGTTAGAGTCTACGGCTTCGCGTGTTTTGGCTCCAGATTTCTACGCGAAGATGGGGTTCTCTACGTTGTGGCACACGCAGAGAAAATGCGTACGGATTTGCTGGGTATCTATCAACTGCATGCAGAAAACTGCCAAATATGGAAGGGGAAATTCCCAGTACACATTCCACGTGACTTCTCTAGGTGAAACCAAGAGTACTCTTGCCAGTCTTGGTGAAACGTAGAGCAGAACAGCATTTCTTTACGTTACGGGAACGCGAAGAAAGTTCGCGTGATTCTTTGCGTCGCGTTCCCAAAACGTAGAGCAGAACCTCCCTACTTTCTTTGTTGAATTCCGTTCCCTTCAGCCTTCTTTATCGTTGTTCACGTTCAGTGCTTGCCTCATCCATATATGCACGTGCCACCGACACCACAGACTCAGCCCCAGCACTGCCGATGATAGATGTAGGTGGCGGTTCTGGGGGAGGCAACGGCAAAGACGGCGATGAGGGCATTACCTCATCACAGCGTCCACTTTGGTCTTGAGCTGAATGTTGTTGTGGTGTGTTATCTTGTGTTGTTATGGTGCATTGTGTTGTGATGACATTATGCCCATTACCCGACTCCAAGGCTCTCGATACGGGTAATGGAGGCACTATTGCCGATGACGGAAATTGTGCTAACGATGGCTGTGGTCGAGGGTTCTTCAGTGGCCTGCCGCGTTTGGGTCGCAGTGCCCGTGCCGAGCCAGTCAGCATATGCAGTGGGACGTGCTGCTTGATACGTGCGTTCAGATGTTGAAGAGTCCTACCGACGTACCGACTACCGCATTGTCGGCACTCAAATTGGTATACCAATTTAGATGCAAGTTGGGTTGGTAGGACATCCTTCCTCACCGTGAACGCACGTACAGTTGTGAAAACGGGTACAACATGTACCGCGTTGTAAGTTTGCTGCACAATTTTCCGTACCACGCGACTCATGGATAATGAGAGGTTACCTTTCCCAGGGAGAGAAAGATACGTGGGACATTTGTCCGGGCCAAAACGTTTTTCCTTTTTATGCAGCCTTTCGCTCATGAGTTCCTTCAATAGATCGTCGGGGTACCCGTTCTTTAGAAAAACGGACTTAAGGAAGTCCAGTTCCTCAGCTAGTTTGGAAGAGGAGCAAATACGCTCTGCTCGATCCACCAAGTTACGAACCAAATTCACCTTGTATTGGTACGAACAATACGAGTCAAACATTATGTACTGGCCGGTGAATGTAGGCTTTCTGTATACAGATGTTACGGTACCCTGACTAGACTTTTCCACAAGGACGTCTAGAAAGGGAAGTTTGTTCGCTTGTTCGTGTTCACACGTAAAACGTATGGAAGGATGTAGGTCATTTAGAATACCAAGAAAGATTTGGCTATCTTCAAGAGAATCAAACCAGGTGAAGGAATCATCAACAAAACGAACGTACAATGCTGGCCACAACTGTTCTGCAATCAGTGACTCGCAGTAACCAACGAACACATTCGCTAAAACTGGACCCAATGGAGAGCCCATGGCTACCCCATCAACCTGCCTGTACATGTCACCGAAGGAAAATTCCACACCAGTCGTCACGAGCAACATCAGTTCCCAGAACGCTGTCTCCGATATCCATGGCGTGTCAACTTCATCATTTCGGTACAACACATCTAGGCAAATATTGATAGTCTCTTGTAATGGGACGTTCGTGAACAGACTCACAACATCAAACGAGCACATATGCGCGGAGGCCGGAACCAGGTGGGAGCGAAGGACGTCAATAAATTCGAAGGTGTCTTTAACTGTATGTTTGCAATAGAACGTTTGCACGACGTCAAGCCAACCACACAGCCATTTAGAGATATTATATTGCGGTGATGCAACCATGGATAAAATGGGGCGCAACGGACAGTTCGGTTTATGTATTTTTGGTAGCCCATAGAGACGTGGACGGACGGAACCAATGGGCCGCATTTTGAAGAACTCTTCCTCCGAAATCTGTTTACTTTCTTTAAGTCTCTTGAGTAAACTATTCAACTTTTTCTTTACTCGAACTGTGTTGTCATGAGTAGATACCGGACCGAGTTGGACAAACTTACTCGTGTCCTCAAGGATGACCGCCATTTTCGTATTGTACTCTTGTGTGCTGATAATAACTGTAGCTCGACCCTTGTCTGGTCTTGTGATTCTAATATCGTTGTTGTTCGTAAGATGACGTCGAGCCTTAAGGTGTTCTCTGGATAATGAAAATGTGCTTCGGTCTGGAGGTTTTTCTGCGTGTTCTTCGGCGATGGCTCGAAGATTAGCCGTACAGATAGCACGCTGATTTTCAGACACTGGTGTAAAATTCTTCATGAGTTTTTTGTGGAACAGTTCGAATTGCGTAAGAACTATTTCCTTTCTGTTGTTAGAAGGAGGAATACCAAACTCCGTTCCCCGGCAAAGTAATTCCTTTTGCATAGGGGATAGTTCGATGTTGGCCAGATTAATAATCGTGTCCATGTTGGGCTTAAAGGAGCCATACCGCTTTGCACGCAGCCATTTGATGAACGCTTTTGCTTGCACCTTGGGGTGGTCGCTTAAACCAGGTTTTACTGTCTGTGATGTGTGCTTATCCTGCTAGCTAATGCAGATAACTAGTTTTACTGGTTTTTGCATACAGTATATTATCACGTTGTTCTCGGTGTGACTGTAATTTTGGTAGAGGAACCTGGCACCTAAATTTAAATGCCACATTTAAAAAAGGCAACAGATCATACTGTATGTGAAGGCAATGCGTGTTACGTAATTCTATATAACAACTGAACTCTGGCGGATCCCTGACACCGAAATTCTAATGCACCTAAAATTACATGCCAAAAATAATGGAGTTTATCTTCTCGACAAGGAGTGTAACTTCTCATGTACCGGCATAGCCTAAGCTAAAATTTAAGATTTGCGTATGAACCCTACGCCAATCTAGAAGCAATTTATTGTCATGTTTTTACTCTGTTGTTGCTTATATGCAGGTGTTGTGGAGTGCAAAGGGTATCGACTGCAATTGCACAGAGAAGAAAACAAATTTGAAGTTTCCACCAGCACCTGCGCCCAGAGCGGTATGCGACTTTTCAGGCGCAAGGATCGCAAAGCACTGAAGAAATCCCAGTGTTTCAAGGTAAAGATTAAGTTTGTTTAAATTGTATCATAATCGCTTAGTCCACTCCATAAAGACACCTTGCTCCATTTACAACACTAGTTAATCTTACGTAACTTTGCTCTGTGTAGAATTCGAGCGCGAAGTGCAGATTGTAGGTACCTAGTCTGAATGTGTATATGCAACACACTTGTCCTGCTCAGTATTGTTCATGTTTCATCGGAGTATTGTAACCCTGGGGATAGGCCATGGCAGAAAAGTTGATGACGTAAGCAGCAAAGAGCCGTATTTTGAGTGTTTGGGTTGAGGTGTCCTAGTACATAATGTGTAAATGGCTGCAATGGAGGCTGCGACTGCTTAGAATTTGTTTCATTTGTTGTCCATGATTTTTGTAGAATCAGCGCGTTCTATGGAAACCAGATCAAACGCTCGAAACGTGGCCTCTTTGTTGCATACGCCATTCGAACAGTTCATCACACCTGAAAATGGAGGTGCGACTTACAATCGAGTGCTACTGGCAATCGAGTGCTAGCTATTTGCAAATCTAGTGCGACTTGCAATCGAGCGCGACTTGCAATCGAACGCGACTTGCAATCAAGTGTGACTTATAATCGAGCGCCACTTCCAACCGAGTACGTCCGGTACAAATCCTCTCCTCGTGTATTGTCTTATTTTTTCTATTAACTGGTTTGAGGGAAAGAGACAAACGGGAAAAGTCTGAAGAAAAAATTTAATGACGATTTTTTCTGTTTCTGAATCTGCTCTTCATTTTGCCAATCAGAAATTACTGGGATCTAACCAGGGGCTTCTTGTCTGGATGCGAGTAAAGAACTCCAAGACAGCTACAATGGATCTCTCAACCGGAGAGGACGGGCCAGAGCAATCCACAGCTGCCTCCCTATGCGGTGAGAAGCATGCAGTACATGTATACTAATCGGAGTCCAGTTATTGTCAATGAAGCTCTTGCACACTACCACATGGCCACAGACTCGAGCCAAGTCAGTTCTTTTACCTTCTGTGCTTTAACCCTTCAGGAGCCGACTGTAATAATCAGAATTCTTCATATTTTCATGTTCTCTGTCCACCCTGCACTCACTCGTTGCGCACACATCCGCACACTCACTCATACGTGTACACCACTATTGAACACGTGAACACTGCCAGTGGGGGCCACCACAGCACAGCGCCCCAACTTATTGTCTTTGCACACAATTCCGCGGTCATGACTATACCGAACCATTGCCTAGTCTAACCAAAAACTCCAGCTACGTACAACCAGAAAACCACGCCCGACCATTATGCATCCGCACACTCTAGAATAATCAAATCACTAGAATAATCAAAGCGATGATGTATGAAATTACATGATGATTACTGGGGTGGGTGGGTGGGCACTCTCACTCAACTCTCCGCACAAAGACAAAAGAGGCCGACCCTGCACTCGTCACCTCCTTTTATCCCACACCGTGCTCCCTCGTACCCGTTCCCGGGTGGACAGAGAACACTACTTCTCTGCTAATTCTTATACTGTGACGTCAACCGCAGAGAAGTGACATTTCTCTGTCCACCCTGCACTCACTCGTTGCGCACACATCCGCACACTCACTCATACGTGTACACCACTATTGAACACGTGAACACTGCCAGTGGGGGCCACCACAGCACAGCAGCAAAGCATAGCCAGGGGCCTCTAATCTAGTGCCAGCTAACGGCACTAGATGGCAAGAGCATATTGTCCAGACTCTCTTTGATGTAGGAGTTGACTGCTTCACTGTGCCAGCCACCATGCCGTTTCAACAGTCGCTGTGGAACCTTGGCTGCGGCCGCTGCCGTCGTACCCCCCGATCGGAGGCTGTGCAGGCCGAACATCTCTGCCTGTAGGCCTGCTCCTGACACTGCCTCTAGGAACAGCTCTCTTGCTCTGGAGTACTGGAGTGACCCTTTCTTCGTCTTCCAGCCAGACTTCGCTTTCACCAAGTTACTCAGCAAATGATCATCAGCTTGAAGGTTCGTTTCTTCGATCAGCCTCTGCGTCAGAGCTACCGCTCCCAGCTCACCAGGCTGCGTGCTTATGAGGACCAAGCTGCCTTCTCTGAGCTGGTCATTCTTGCGCTTATCCAAACGAACCTCCATGTAGTCTTGACGGAATGCAATGTCCCGCACCCGGATTCTCGCCAAATCGTCCCACCTCATGAAGCCAGCAAATCCAATGGCAAACATAACCGCTGTCCGCAGCTTCAGACAATCGTCGCTCCCGGCAAGTTGACCCACGATCGTAGCCACCTGCTTCTTGTTGAGGGGCTCTTTCCGCCTGGGGGTGCAAGCTAACCTCCTTTTTGCCGCTGCTGCAATCTGCTCCACCATGGCATTGACAGGAAGCTGTACGCATGCCTTCTGATGAGCCCATTTGATTGCGGACAGAGCTGCAGAAATTGGGCTTGCGGATGCGCTCGTCTCTACGAGGTGGATCAGGTACAAACTGACTGCCACCGGTGTAGCGGGTATCGCCACAAACCCATGCTCCATAGCCCAGCTTTTCCAACGCGAAAATGCCGACTTGTAGGTCTTCACCGTAGATGACGCATGTGTCTCCATCACCAAGTCCTTGGCTCGTTCCGACAAACTCACTAGGCCCTTGCCTTCAGCTACTTCCTGTAGCTCCTTCCAGCACCCCTGGTCCCAGATCTCTAAAAATTTTAGCAAGCACATGGAAAGAACCACAATATAAGCCTCGTTATTCAGACCGCACAAGCTTGTGCTCCAGCTACAAGCCTCCTCCTATGCCATGTTACATAATAATGGCTAACATGCACCAGCCATACACAACCACATGACCTGCCAAAAAATACAGCTCACAACATTAATAATAATAATAATAAGCAAGAACCAAAACAAGACTTCCCTGTGTTGATATGTTGACAGCTCCATGGTGCAAGATCCACCTACACATTCCCTCCGGACCCTCCAGCCTGCCTCAGGCTATGCACCCTGTGCGTCTTACAGAACTAGCCTCTAGATTCTGCAGCCAATCAACAACACATAGCAGAACACAGAACCTTCTGCAGATACCTAGACATCATGTCCCACCGCGCTGACACCCCATGATACTACTGGACCTGGCTGCCATGACTTCACACCTTGGAACATGCAAAACACAGCTAATAATAATACAAGGCAAGTACCAAACCAGACTTCCCTCTGTTGGTATGTTGGCAGCTCCTTGGCGCTGGATCCACCAGCACAGCCCCCAGGACCGTCCAGCCTGCCTCAGGCTATGCACCATGTGCGTCTTGCAGAACTAGCCTCTAGAATCTGCAGCCAATCAACAACCAACACACAGCAAAACACAGAACCATCTGCAGACACCTTGTCTTTAAGTTCAATATCATTCCCGACATTCTGTCTCACAGCACCGACAGCCCATGATACTACAGAACCTGATTGCCATGACTTCACACCTTGGCACCTTCCCATCAAACCAATTCCATTGGCAAGAGCCACTGTCAAACAGACCTGATATTCTAGGCAGGAAAATAAAACTCCTCACCAACGTGGAGCTTTCAGTACCTTTGAATAAGTATGGCCACCACCATGCAGATGTCCATTTTGGGACAACCAATGTCCCATGACTGACAATCACTGAAATTCTGCTAATAACGTCTCCAATAAGGTAAATGGGGGGGCACAACCATAAGTTCTCCCCTTCCCAGCACATCGTGAAAGCATCCACGGCCAAACATCCTGGATTCCACCAACGTGAGCAGAAACGAGGCAACTGTGCCGACTCTGCACTGGCAAAGCAGTCAACAGTGTGCGGGCCCCACAAACCGTCTATCTCGTCGAATACCTCAGACGACAATTTCCAGTCATCAGTATCCACTACCTTGGATAAAAAATCTGCCAGAACATTCTCCTCCCTTGGAACCCATTCTGGCACAAGTCGAATGCAATTTTGCCTGCAAAACCTGAAAATCCGACATGCAATCTCCTGCAGTTCTGGAACTTTGCTGCCCACCTGCAGAATACGAGCTGCCGCCTGATTATCCGTCCGGTGCCTACATTCCTTGCCTGCCAATTCTTGGACCACCGATTGCAGCACCAACTCGGTAGCCCTCAATTCCCTCCACGTAGAACTCTTCTGAGCCTCTAACACCTCTTCTGGCCAATTCCCTCTTGCAATCGTTTCCCCGCAGGACACCGCAAAACCTCCCCAGGCTACATCGCTAGCATCTGACCACGTGTCTACAACTGCTGTTATCTTTGGATCACCCACAACCAATCTTCCATGAAACTCATTGAAACAATACCACCAGAAGCTCACTTCTGCATAAGCCTCATCAGACCACTCCTGTCTATGAAACCAGCTTTTCCTCCTGAGAATCATGTCATACAATGCCCTGGTTCTCAACCTTGCAACTGGCCCAATGGCGAAAGACATTGAAATGATGAACCCAGCCAGCCTAGCACACTCTTTGGCATTCGGTCTCCTCTTGCTATGCAAAACCCTCAAATGCTCCAAAAACCTCAGAACTCTTGCCTCCGCCACACTTACTCTCCCGTGAACCAGGTCCAACACAAAACCCAGAATGGTAGGCTTCTGAGAAGGCACAAGACACGATTTCTCCACATTGATCTTCCAACCCGCTCTTTCCAACGTTTCCGTGAGCACACCTGCTACCCTCACTGTCTCTTCCACAGTGCCCGCTCCTGCAGAGCCATCGTCAAAGAACATCATGCACTTAATGCCCTGAGCCCTCCAGTAACGAACCATCACACGGACCAGTTTGTTAAAAAGATACGGAGCAGTGGAGAGCCCAAACGGCAATGACTTGAAACAATAAAATTCACCTCCCCATGAGAAACCCAAATATTTCCAATGGTCCCTTGCCATATCAACATGGTGATAACCACTCTTCAAATCGAATGTTACAACAAAGTCGTCTTTCTGAAAGAGCTTCACTGCCATCCTGATATCATCCAATTTAAACCTGAATTTTGCCAAACATTCATTCACTTGCCTCAAGTCTAAAATCAGTCTCAGCTTCCTAGCACCTTCCACCACTCCCAGCGGGCTAACACAATTTAACTCAGATTCGTTTACTTTCATCGCACTCCCGCAGTCTACCAGCCCCTTCACTGCCTCATCAACAAATTGTACATGCTTCCAACAGCTTTTCTGATTCCTTAAAAAACCAGACGGAGGGTCTGTTACAAACGGCAACGCATAACCGACCTCCAAAATACTAATAATCCAAGATGAAGCCCCCATCTCCCTCCAAAACGGTATGCACCGCTTCAATCTCCCATGCATCACAGTTTCACCCTCTGCCCAGATTTCCCCTTCCCCTTCCCCTTCCGCACCATATCCGCTTTCAGCCACAACATCTGAATAAGTTTGAACACTCTTTTCATCATCCTCATCCTCATCATCATCAACAACATGCACATCAAACTTATCTTGTTCATCGTGGCTGCTGTTGCTGTTGCATCGGGAATGACCTGGCAGGTGCTGGGCCTGGGGCAGGCTGCGTGCAGTCCCTCTGCACGTGCCCCTTCCCTCCGCACCGCCAACAGGCCAGCTCCTTGAACGGGGCGCCGAATCCGGGTGGCTTCGGTGCGGCCGGCATGGTCTGAGCTCGAGCAGCCGCTCCGAGCCCGACCCCGGCTGGGCGGCCTCCTGGAAAGGGCTTGCCACTGCTCCTCTTCCCCTCCTTGGCCTCCGCCCTGGCCCTCCTCATCCTCCGCTCATCGTCCGTATCGGACCCGCACTCCATTTTACCATCATAAATGTTTGCGGCCGACCACCCTTCGGCGTCCGCAAACAGCAATAACTTGACTCGCCGCTGGAGGACGCTCTCACCTTCCTCTATGTTTCTGGCGATGTCCTTCTCGCCTCGACGCTCCGCCTTCTGCCTTGCCTTGGCTAGAGGCTCCAACGCCTTACTTATCACGCAGAACTGCTCCTCGTGAGCCTTGGCCTTCCAACTTCTCTTTCTTGCCGCCGCCATCGTCTCGTCCTGTCTCTCCCTCTTCACCTGCTTACTTTCCTTGCTCCTCTTGCTCTTCTTGCTGTTTCTCCTCTTGCTACTTCTACTCCTGCCACTTCTCCTGCTCCTCTCTGACTCACTCTCACTGTCACTGTCACTCCTATCCTCTCTTTTCCTCTTACGACTAGACTTCTCCAACTTCCTCTCCAACGTCTCCAATCTCGCAGCCATCTCTCTCATCCTCCTACTCTCCTCAACATACCCTTCACTCTCACTACCACTACCACTCGGCGACACACTTCTCGACATTCTTTTCACAAAATAAAACTTTCAAATTAAATAATTCACAAACTCTCACTCAACTCTCCGCACAAAGACAAAAGAGGCCGACCCTGCACTCGTCACCTCCTTTTATCCCACACCGTGCTCCCTCGTACCCGTTCCCGGGTGGACAGAGAACACTACTTCTCTGCTAATTCTTATACTGTGACGTCAACCGCAGAGAAGTGACATTTCGTTGGGTTTAAAACAGTGCTGGAGATGTGATTCTGCATTTTCTATAATTATTCTCCTAGTTCTGCCAGCTGTTCTTTTGGTTGTGTATATCTACAGTGTAAGATTCAGTGCATTTTTGTTCTGTTTAGTTCTCAAAGCTGCGCCAGCCTCAACAGTGCAATCCATACAATCCAAAGCATGTGATGGGGGGACCTGTGACGGGTGGGGGACCTGTGATGGGAAACTGAATGATGTACCTTATTACACTGGACTCAGTTGAAAAAGAAGGGCCTGGTGGATCGTACCACACTTCTCCTAACACCTCAAGCTGGGAAAACCCGCCGCACTCTTGGTGAAATAAACCCCTTGCGCAGCAACCCAAATTGCCGGGGGAACTATCTGCCAGTGCCTATTCTTGCTGGGTTGCATGCAGATAAAAAGATGGGCGACCGCCATGCTCCTGGTTTGCTTGTTGTGCAAGAGCTTTGTGTTCCGCTGGTTTCTGTTCTCGCACTGCAGCTAAGGCACCAAGCGCCGAAAGTGGAGATTTGCCACAACCGTCCCTTGAAGTGGAAGAAGGTATGTAATTGGTGAAAATACAGGCGAAGAAAGGTGTCAGGGCTTCGTTGCAGGGGTAGCTCACCCCTACTGTGATAAGATTTCTCCAGCACCAAACAAAGGCTCTTCACTGAGAATCATTTTGCGTTCTACCCAATTTTCGGGCATGACCTGGCCCAGCATTGGGGGTAAAGGGGGAGCCGGAGAAGCAGAATCCCCTCCAGAAAGACGTCTTGCTCCATTTTCCACACTAGTCTGTCTTACGTAACTTTTCTCAGTGTAGAATTCGAGCGCGAAGTGCAGACTGCACATACCTAGTCTAAATGTACCGTAAAGTACCGCCAGAGCGCCCCACCATCTCATCCTTTCGCGGTCGTATTGTGGAGGTGGTCTGCTGTCTGTAGGTCATACGACATGAACCTTGTACACATATTCCACGTTTTGCAGTCAATCCGCACCTTCAAGATGACACAAGCTCCACACAAAAACCTGCCAAGTGTGACCTTAGTACACTAAGATTCTCACATCGTGCACACTTCGTTGCACTCTGCCATACGATTTTCCTTTCTCTGGCTGTAAAATCAAGGTGGGGCGCTCTCGCGAGACGGGGCGCTCTGGCGGTACTTTACGGTATATGCAACACACTTCCAGTCTTGCTGAAATCCCTTTTGTGTCGCAACCCAAGCTGCCTGGGGAACTATCTACCAATTGCCTATTCCCGGGCTGCGCGGAGATAAAATGGATGACGATATACCCCGCTCTTGTTTGTATGCGGTGCTGCAAGCACATTGTGTTTCACTGGTCCTTTTCTCTCGCCACAGATGTGGCACCAAGCTCCGATAGAGAAGCGCCCACAGCAGAAGAAGAAGGTATGTCACTCGTGAAGCACAGGTGAAGGGAGGTAGGTGTCTGTGCTTGACTATGGTTGTAGGGGGAACTCAGTTATCACAAGCCCTAATATGACACTGGGGCATTGCACACGGTACGGTCACTACGGTATTGACTTTGCACCAAGTACCTCGTAAATCAATAAAAAATGCACTCTCTGAATTTCCAAAATTCTCGGCTCAGCCACACTTCTCTCACGAGTATATTGTACAGTTCAGATAACTGACCGTACCACGCTAAAATACCTTCCGACACCCCTGTGACATACTCATTCAATTTCACCACACAGCCTCACACACAGGCCACAGTCTCTTCACTACTTCACTCTACATTTCACCAAGTTTTCGGGCCTGGCCACAGCGGTAAAAACCCCACTCCAGAAAGTCGTCTTGCGTCATTTTCAACAACTTGCTTTTCTTTCGTAAATTTGCTCTTGGTAGACTTCTAGCACGAAGTGCAGGATGCGGATACCTAGTCTAAATATATATGCGCTGTGTGCTTATTTCTTCTCATTTTTCAAGTATCTAAATCCCAAAGCACAAGCGCAAAGGGCCTGCCTCTCTTTAGTTCAGGTAAGCTGATAAGGAAGGTCCAATCGATAGCAGTAAATCTGTGTCGCTTGATGTCGGTTTTTTAGATTTAATTGATGATGTGGCTTCATTTGTGCTTCGCATCCGAAGCAGCAACAGATGCGTCAACGGTGAATTCGTTAGCTGACCTTTGTTGTTTCGCATAGCAGTCGGTGGTTTATGTTTTAGATAAGGAACTTGTGTCGATTTTTCCAGAAGCTGAAAGAGGAGCCATGGATCACGAAGTGCAGATTGCAGATACCGGTTCTAAATATACACTGTAAAACCTAGTGTAAGCGAACTCTGTGTTTAGCGACCACCTGCTCTTAGCGACCGTTTTCCATGCACCGACAGTTCTACACAGACACTGTGAGACCTGGTTCCAAAGGCCACCTGGCTTTAACGACCGATTTTGATTGCACTGTAGGGTGGTCGCTTAAAGGGGCACTCCGGGAATTTTTTTCGGTAATGTGTTCTCTTCATGGGGGCCTTATAATATTACTAGCAGCACCCCAGGCCAGCGTTGCCTGGCCGAATGTGGCATGCGGGTGAAGCAAGTACATGAACAGCACACGTGCTCAGCACGTGGTGGTGGCCAGACCGCTGAAGTCCTGGTGAGGGAGGTTTTTCATGGTTGGAAGGAGAAGGAGGGACGTCTGTTACGCCTTCGGGAGGCTGGTCAGGGTTGTCCATCACCTGGTTGCGGATGAAGCGGCTCAAAAAATTCATAAACTTAGGGGTCGTCCGTAATTTTCGAAAAATTAAAAAATCCGTCCTCAGGCAGAAAGAGGGTGGGTGGTCAAGAGTGCTGGCGGAATTTAATTTTTTGATTTTTCGTACTTTTTTTTCTTTTTTTCTTCAGTGACTTTTATACACTTGTTGCACAGACTGTACTGTGTATTCATGTGGTGTATATACATGTACTGTATACACGTGTAGTGTAGGATCGATTGCTGCAAACACCAGTACGATGTAATTTGTAGGACGTGCATGGCCGTCGGTAGACCTACATTGTATAATAATAATAATAATAATACTTGATTAGGATGACCCAAAGGCTGACCGCCTATCGTGGGGTCCGTCGCATTGAACGATGATGGTACACGAGAGTACAGATTGGGAGGGGAGGGACTACTATGAACAGGGATATGTACTACTACAAATATAGCTTCTAGTACTTGACACAGGTGCAGTCAGTGAACACGGCCGGAGTGATAAGTTCTTATTTTCGAGCCGGGCCTTAGGAAAAATCAAAAAATTAATAAGAAAAAATGGGGGTGGGTGGGTGGGTCCGAGACAATTTTGCACGAGGACGGACTTTTTAATTTTTCGAAAATTACGGACGACCCCTTACGAACAAAAGTGCGATGCGCTCTTCACTGCACTGCAGATCAGATGCAGAGTGCAGTCAGTGCAGATCTTTTGTATCCTTTTGTTGCAGATGTTTCTATTTGCAGAGAACGGTTCACGTGGTCCGCAGCGCTTGTGCGGCTGCTAGTGCTACCTATGACCTAGGCTAGGTGGCTACATGATTCGCACGCTTCGCGTGCTCAGTGCTTCTGCGCGCGGCTGCTACTGCTATACTCGTGTCTGCTATAACTATTATAAGCGCTACCACCTACACTGTTCGCACGCTTTGCGTGCTCAGCACTTGGTGGTGGCTACACGATTCGAACGCTTCGCGTGCTCAGTGCTTCTGTACTCTGTGCCTGCTTCCGCTAGCTACACGATTCGCACGCTTCGCGTGCTCAGTGCTTCTGCGGCCGCTAGCTACACTGACTGTGCTACACTGTTCGCACGCTTCGCGTGCTCAGGGCCGCGCTGCTCCGCAGCGCTAGCGCTTCAGCGTGACCATGGTGACACAAAAACACACGTCACAGGTGCCTCTTCTTTATAAGGAGCGGGACACACACACACACACACAGACACACGTCACAGGTGCCTCTTCTTTATAACTATAAGTAAAGATAATCAAAAAGGAAAGGACTCGTATGCCATAACGAATCAACTGCCCTGATTCGTACAGAACGAGCTCGGATTGCGGTGCGAAATGAGCTACACTGTGCTACACTGTTCGCACGCTTCGCGTGCTCAGGGCAGCGCTGCTCCGCAGCGCTAGGGCTTCAATTCAGCGTGACACAAAAACACACGTCACAGGTGCCTCTTCTTTATAAGGAGCGTGACACACACACACACACACAGACACACGTCACAGGTGCCTCTCTTTTATAAGTAAAGATGGCCTCCAAGGAATGCAGATTGCGAAAACTAGAATCAAAAAGTCGATATATGAAGCCAGGGAGGGCCAAATTTGTCTCCTCCGCCGAGGGTTTTGATGACGTCACCTGTGATTAGTAATCAAATTCCCTGCATTCGATGGTGTTAGTTGTTTGAATTTCCTGATGATGAAGAACGATGTTTGGGAGACATTCCCAAGCTTCACAACTGCGGCCATACTCCAAGGAACCAGAAGGGCCTCCTCAGGTGCCACCGGTAGAAGCGCAGCGTGATGAGGGCCAGGAGATTGGAGCAGCCGACTTCACTGGTCGACAAGGAAGAAACGATTGGTGTCCCTGCCAGAAATGTGAAGTGATGCAGAGGGCAGTCGATTGCCTTTCCTGTCGAGAGAGCGATGGAGCTGTTAGCAATGACAGCGCTTTGACATGCGTTACGCATCACCCCGACTTCCCGTCAGCTTGTCTAAACACTTACCAGCTCCTCGTCCGATCCCTCCTTCTGCTCGCGTTTTTGCTTGAGGTAAAGTGATTCCTTTAGAGGTGTTGTTTTCGGTGTGGAACTAGACTTTGCAGACACGCCTGAACTCGAAAATAACGTGGGCACTGCACCCTCCATGCGACGAGCTTACAAGGTCGCTTTTGCCAGATGGGCTGCTCATCGCTTCGCTAGCCATAAATTCGCTCATCAGATCGCGTTGAAAGGAGGCCGGTTCAAAGTAGGCTGAACACAAACGATCCCACTTTATTGGCTCAAAGAGCTTGTGGGTTTCCCACCGGCGACTCGAGCTGCTCTGCCCATGTTCTTGACCCGCGAAAGACGCAACTCAGCGTCGTGGGGAAACACAAACAATGTCAAATTTGTGCACGCCTCATCCTTCGAATCGTTTGAACAGCCGGGAGCATAGCACCTTCGCATGACAGACAGGAAATCTGAAGCTGGCACATAGACGACATGAAAGAAAAAACTTGACAACTACCCTGCAACTCTTCACCTCGACAGTTTCAGCAGTGTTCCCATTCGAGCTCCGGGAGCGCATTGAGCTCCATCAAAACCCTCCGTGGTGGAGACAAACTTGGCCCTCCCTGGCTTCATAGTATGGACTTTTTGGGTCTAGTTTTCGCGATTTCCCATTCCTTGGGGCCATACGAAGCCCCATGAAGAAAACACACCACCGAAAAATCGGACACCCGTCACCGCCAAGGCTGGCCACGTGGTGCGAATTTTTCTCTTTCAAATGTCAATTTTTTCCAGAGAATGCAAAATATCGCCCAAAATACCATGAAAAATCGCTCCGTTGCCATGGTAACTGATACGGCACCCCCGAAGTTGTCATGAATTATTATTTTGTAATGAATGCATGAGTGTGGTCACACACTGTACAGTGTCATGTACCCAGGCATACATGTATTACCAAGAGTACAAGCACTCTTGGTAATACTCAACTCTCAAGTTTGCACTTCCACAGCCGGCCAAGCACTAGCCCTTTTTCCTCATGTACATGCCTAGTGTACATGTACATGACTACAGTACATGTACTACTAGTAGAGTGATTTGTACCTTCAGTTGCGCTGAAAAGTGAAAATAGAGGACTTCTGCATAGGAAAGTACTGATCCCTGATAATTTTGGGTGCTTTTCGGACGTTTCCTTTTTCGGACCGGTTTTCGGAAGAGGCTTCAAAAATCGGACACTGTCCGAAAAATTGGACGGTTTGGCAGCACTGTGTATGTGATGGGTGCATATCCTGCTAGCTAATGCAGATAACTAGTTTTACTGGTTTTTGCATATAGTATATCACGTTGTTCTCGGTGTGACTGTAATTTCGGTAGAGGGACCTGGAGCCTAAATTTAAATGCCACCTTTAAAAAAGGCAACAGATCATACTGTATGTGAAGGCAATACGTGTCACGTAATTCTCTATTACAACTGAATTCTGGCTGATTCCTGACACCGAAATTCTAATACACCTAAAATTACATTCCAAACGTAATGGAGTTTATCTTCTCGACAAGGAGTGAAACTTCGCACGTACCGGCATATCCTACGCTAAAATTTAGGATTTGCGTATGAATCCTACGCCAATCTAGAATCAATTTATTGTGATATTTTTATTCTGTTGTTGCTCATGTGCAGGTGTTGTGGAGTGCAAAGGATATCGACTGCAATTGCACAGGGAAGAAAACAAATTTGACGTTTCCGCCAGCACCTGCGCCCAGAGCGGTATGCGACTTTTCAGGCGCAAGGATCGCAAAGCACTGAAGAAATTCGAGTGTTTCAAGGTAAAGATTAAGTTTGTTTAAATTGTATCATAATCGCTCAGTCTACTCCATAAAGACAACTTGCTCCATTTACAACAGTTGTTTATCTTACGTAAATTTGCCCTGTGTAGAATTTGAGCGCGAAGTGTAGATTGTAGGTACCTAGTCTAAATGTGTATGCGACACACTTGTCCTGCTAAGTATCGCTCATGTCATGTTTCATGGGAGTATTTTCACCCTGGGGATAGGCCATGGCAGAAAAGTTGATGACGTAAGCAGCAAAGAACCGTATTTTGAGTGTTTGGGTTGAGGTGTCCCAGTAAATAATGTGTGAATGGCTGCACAGGAGGCTGTGACTGCTTAGAATTTGTTTCATTTGTTGTCCGATTTTTTGAAGAATCAGCGCGTTCTATGGAAACCAACTCGAACGCTTGAAACGTGGCCTCTTTGTTGCATACGCCATTCGAACTGTTCATCACACCTGAAAATGGAGGTGCAACTTACAATCCAGTGCTACTGGCAATCGAGTGCTACTGACAATAGAGTGCTACTGACAATCGACTGCGACTTGTAATTGAGTGCGACTTGCAATCGAGTACTACTGACAATGGAGTGCTACTTGCAATCGAATGCGACTTGCAATCAAGTGTGACTTATAATCGAGCGCCACTTCCAACCGAGTACGTCCGGTACAAATCCTCTCCTCCTGTTTTGTCTTAATTTTTCTTCTTCTGAATCTGCTCTTCATTTTGCCAATCAGAATTTACTGGCATCCAACCAGGGGCTTCTTGTCTGGTTGCGAGTAAAGAACTCCAAGACAGCTACAATGGATCTCTCAACCGGAGAGGACGGGCCAGAGCAATCCACGGCTGCCTCCCTATGTGGTGAGAAGCATGCAATATAATGTGTACTACTCGGAGTCCACTTCTTGTCAATGAAGCTATTTCACTCTACCACACGGCCACAGACTCGAGCCAAGTCAGCTCTTTTAGCTTCTGTGCTTTCACCCTTCAGGAGCCGGCTGCAATTTTCAAAATTCTTCATAATCATGTTCTTTGGGTTTAAACATGTGCTGGAATTGTGATTCTGCATTTCCCATATTTTCCTAGTTCTGTCAACTGTTCTTTTTGTTGTGTATATCTACAGTGTATGATTCTGTGCATTTTTGTTCTGTTTGCGCTGCATAGTTCTGAAGCCGACGAGGAAAGCCGGAGAGGCAAAAGACTCGCACGACCAAAGGAAGGGTTTCGTCCACTCTCAGTGAGTACTAAACTATTTCACGGTTCGCTGGAGACTCGGTTTAATTAATAGAATCAGTTTTCTGCATCCCTGGGAACGCCATCACCCTGCACAGATCTAAGGTGCAGATGTAGATCCAGACTATCTAGGTGCAGTCGGAATTTAGTTTTCTTTTTACCCTAATGGTGAAACGAGCAGGGTTTCCCTCCCCCTTCACCTAACGTTATGTAATGCAATTCAGATAGTATATTATAAAGAAGCCTGCCTTGGTAGTTTTGCAAACATGTTTTTCGATTTTGACAGCATTTTTGCAAGGCGAGGACGCATAGTGCTCCTGACTACAACCATAACCCGGTTGGCAGAGTATTCAGATAATACAATTTATTATCTTTCCAGCAAAACCTCCCTACAGTCAGCCTTGCGAATAATGTGCCTCGATTGTTCATGGGGAAAGTGTCCTATTCTCGAGTTTGCTTTATTCAGAATGTTGAAAAGAGCAGTGAGATTATCTGAAGATTGCGGTACTGTCCGAAGTATACGCTGCACTGGAGTGAAAGGCACATTCAAATTTGTTGGTCAAGAAATCAAGACACCTATCCTGCCTATCACCATTTATTTGATTATCACAGTATAGACCGCACTGACGTGTTTGAGGGTTAATTACTGGCTCATTCCAATAAATATGGTATGTGTGTGTGTGTGTGTGTCTGTCTGTCTGTTTGTGAATGGATGTGTACGTGTGTCTATTTAAACACGCAGATAATAGAAAGGACAAGCAACCTCATTAGCTGATAGCAGTTATCAAACACTCTCTTCACACCAGGGGCGTGGTGTACATCGTGTCTGCGTGTGTGTGTGTGTGTGTGTGTGTGTGTGTGTGTGTGTGTGTGTGTATGTGCAACATCGTCACTCGTCAGTCACCTACAATGTCCAGAGACTTGCCTACTCTTTGTCCTGCAACCGTCCAGAAGAGAGGACGGCTACTCAGGAATTATTGTAGTTTCTCGCTGGACAATGGGGATCTAGCGCGGTTTGTGCCTCCTAGAACATTCAGGACTGGATTTGGCGAGACAGCCATATCGCTATTCAAAACACACCCAATTGGAAAGAACGTTAACATCGTACTTCTGTAATCTTGTAGACGACTTTGAGATGCTAACGCGCGTGTGCACGAGCGTGTGCATATGTACATATGTGTGTGTGTGTGTGTGTTCGAATGCTTTAAAGTAGATGTTTAGATATGTATCAGAATATGTGTGCACGTGTACTATTTTTTGCTGTTTCTTGTACATCCCAAGAGTGTGTAAGTCCACTATGGGTGCTACACTGACCTGATTCATTGCAAGTTAGCATCACTTTGGTGTTGCAGTGTGCATTGTCTGAAGGTATGATTGTATTTTCAGACTAAAGTAAGTGGATCTACATGATTGTACTGGCTTTGAGGTGACATGTGTACGTGGTTGTGTGAATATCAAGCGTGGTGTGGTGTGGTGCGGTGAGATGGGTGGGTGTGTGGGGATGGGGGGGGGAAAGGGGGGGGGGGAGGGTGGGGGCAGGGTTAACTGGCGAGGTACCTGCACCACCATATCTAGGGACATGTCCCGGCCCAAGACAGAAAAGGCTGGCGCACCCTGAAGGCAACTTGCTAGAACCAAACTGTTCAAACCACTCCAGACCGAATATTCAGAAATGACGAGACAACTCACCAGCTATTATCAATGAACTAATCATTTTCACCTTTCTGTAGTGCATCCAATCGATACCGGCTCTTCTGCTCTACAGCATTGTTCCTCAAGATTCTGAGCTTTCTGTTTGTCTTTCTCTTTATCATCATCCTGAATGGCACAAGTGAAGTAGGCATCCCCGCTTACATCGCGATAGTGCTTATAATATTATATTATAAGCACTATCGCGATGTAAGCGGGGATGCCTACTTCACTTGTGCCATTCAGGATGATGATAAAGAGAAAGACAAACAGAAAGCTCAGAATCTTGAGGAACAATGGACATATATTATAATTTGAAACTCGGATGTTGAGCCATAAATAAAAGTAGAAAGGAAAAGGACATATGGAAACGAGTTAAGAGTAACTCTCCACCACTGTAACTAGATACTATAATTATACAGTCAGAAAGTGCAACAACTTGGCACAAAACTGACAGAGTACTGAGACATTCGACGTCCTGACACCTAGCTTCAACACATCTCCGTAGCGCTAACCGACAGCCTTCCAACTTGGAAGGTTCAAGGTTATGGAAAGACCAAAGAGGGGAAGGCAAGCGCAACGAAAACGAGCACAAGCTTCAGTCCCAACGGAACAAAGAATGTCGATTGTCACTGGACGATGACAAGACCAGTAGGCGATTTGACAAAGCGGTCTAACTACAATTCGAAGCAGCAAAGCAGCACACCACCCAACTTGGGTGGGTCAAAAATATCAAAGATAAGTTAAGAAGGGGGAAGCTTTGCGAGAACGAATTGTACAAGCCTTCTTAACTTATCTTTGATATTTTTGACCCACCCAAGTTGGGTGGTGTGCTGCTTTGCTGCTTCGAATTGTAGTTAGACCGCTTTGTCAAATCGCCTACTGGTCTCGTCATCGTCCAGTGACAATCGACATTCTTTGTTCCGTTGGGACTGTAGCTTGTGCTCGTTTTCGTTGCGCTTGCCTTCCCCTCTTTGGTCTTTCCATAACCTTGAACCTTCCAAGTTGGAAGGCTGTCGGTTAGCGCTACGGAGATGTGTTGAAGCTAGGTGTCAGGACGTCGAATGTCTCAGTACTCTGTCAGTTTTGTGCCTAGTTGTTGCACTTTCTGACTGTATATAGTATCTAGTTACAGTGGTGGAGAGTTACTCTTAACTCGTTTCCATATGTCCTTTTCCTTTCTACATATATTATAATTATATGTATCTATTATTGCCCGATTAAAGAGGTCAATATATGAAATATAGAACGAGTAAAAGACCGAGGTCCCCCGAGGTCTTTTACGAGGTCTATATTTCATATATTGACCGATTATGAGGGCAATAATAGATTTATCACGACATAGCATACCTAAACTGTTTTTAGCTGTGTTTATAGGAAGAAAGGAATACTATTATAATAGTACAGAGTATGTACATATGCCGTTTACATTGGACATGACTTCTCTATAAACAGAAGTTTTCAGTTGTCACTTGTAGTATGTTCCCGAAGTTCTTTGACTGAGAATCTGACAGTTTGGGTTCAAATCCCAACATTTGGCTTCAGATTTTTCTTCTTTCAGTTCTGATTTTTTTTCTAAGTTGAGGAAAAAGTTCTAAGTCCTCGGGCTAAGTGGTCAATAATAAGCGGTCAATATAAGCGGTCAATATATGCTGATATTTGACCGCTTAGAGATCACAAGTTTCTGTGGGGGTCAATAATAAGAGAGTGATAATATATAATATAATTATAATATATGTCCGAGGTTGCTGGGTGGGTACGACAGCCCCAGCGCTAGAAGGTGGGCTTTCTGTTGCATCGTCTCTCTTGCATGCAACTATTTGTGAAAACCGTGTACTTACCCCCGCATGCACCATTGTTCACAGGCGAATTATCAAACACGTCCTGTGCCGCATGCTGATCAGGTAGTGCCATATATGTGGCACATAATATGCCATATATGTGCCATATACTATGGTATAATTATGGTATAATTATGGTATATGGTATATGGTACATGGTATATGCCGTCCCTCTCAAGTGTGTGTACCATGGTACATGTATGTGTTGTACACTGTACTGTCAGTTGACATGCATGCCCCCTTTCAAACCCAGACAAACTTTTCGGGATTGGTCTATACTGGACCTGGCTGAATGAGCGCTGTAAACAAGAACACATACCTGTTGAAGCTGCATGCTCTCTCTGCTGTGAAGGTTTTACTACGATCCGTAGGCCTGTGGGATTGCCCTATTTAAAAATTGATAATATTTTAAGGAATAACGTATGGCAGAGTGCAATGAAGTTTGCGCGGCGTGAGAACCTTAGGGTGCGTTCTTAAAGCCTCTCGGAAAAGTTGGAGACTCTTCGAAAAGTTCGAGAGCAGTTCTTATATCCTCTCCGAATTTTAGGAGGCTCTCCAAAGCTCTCCAAGCTTCGGGGAAGGGGGGGGGGGGGTGTTGAAACTTGGAGATTCCCGCGGTTTGGGATCAGCGCGTGTGAACTAGGCTAAAAGCCACGTGTTGACCATGAGTGTACCCATTTCCCTTTTTCTCATACGCACAGTGCATACTATATTCGTGGCACGCAAGATCGCGGCCCCTTTAGCCCATGATATTTCTTGACATGTGCAAAATATCTCCGAATTCTTCCAGACCTGTTCCTTGATTTTACAAGTTTCTTCGACTTCTGTTTCCTTCTTCTCTGAGAAGCTAGAGAATATAAGAACGCACCATTAGTTGTATAGGCATTTTCCAACCCAAACTCCAAAAAACGTCGTGTGAGGTGGGGTGCAGGAAATTCAAAAGATACGGTACATGAGGAAAAAGCTGTTTATACCGTATACTGTAACTACAGGAGTCCGGGATGTTCGATTGGTAAGGATCGGGATCGGGATCCACATCTCAGAACCTTCGCATCCTTCAGGGCATGTTCATTTGGTAGGATCGGGATCCCGATCCACCGGATCCACTGGATTTGCACCTTTTCATTGGTCGAATCTGGATCCGGATCCTTCGGATTTGGATCCGATCAACCCACCTCGGAGAGCAGGGCTGACCGGATCCAACAGATCCAAATGTGATGACCTTTGTGTGTATATGGCGGGTAAAAATCATTTTTGTACACATTGTGATACGCACACGTGGATGGAGATAGAGCTTATTGCCTTTTTGTACGACGGAGGCGTTGAGAACGAAGTCCACCCTTTTGGGTGAGTTGTGGGTGCCATTGTCAACATGTTAACGAACATGGCAACAGTCAAGGTTCAAAATAAAGTGTTAAGTTGAATCTGAAGGATGCGACGGATTTGAGATCTGGATGCTGTTCCCGATCCTTACTAATCGAACATGCCCTCCAGATTCAACTGAACACTTTATTTTGGACCTTGACTGTTGCCATGTTGACAATGGCGCTCACAAGTCACCCAAAAGGGTGAACATCGTACTCATCGTGTGCGTCGTACAAAAGTCAACAAGTTCTATCTCACAGTTGCACGAAGCCTCTTTTACGGGCGAACAAAACAAGACATATGTCAAAGAAAAAGAAAAAAAGGCCCAACCCTAACCTGCCAGTTATGAGGGCTGACGAGGGTCGCCATGGCAAATAAAAAAAATTAAAATTCCGCACGTTCGGGCTCTCCGCCTTCTCCGTGAAATAATAAGGGGCAAGAAATTTGTGTGGAGGCGAAAAGCTCGCCAAGGGCTGGAGACACACATCTACATGTCTTTAGTTCAACGGTCCTGCAAGGAAACACGTGCGACGGCTACTTCGACAGACGCTGGGTCCCTAGATCCCTGGTGTCACGGTGTGCGGATGAGGATCTTGCCCCACGAAGGCACATCACGCTAGCTCGGACTATAATGCCCTATTCACAGGACAACTGTCTGCGACGCGACACGCAATTTGCGACAGTTGCGACAAGAAACTGCGTGTATAGCTGTCGCGAGCTGTCGCAAGCTGTCGCAAGGCGCCTGTCGCAGAAGTTGAAGAAAGTTCAACTTTTGCGACATTCGACACGCGACATACACAAATGGAGTACAATTTCGACCCTGGGTGCACGCGCAGTGCACGTGCATAGTACTACTTGGGCATAAGGATGTCGCAAACATGAAGAATATTGTGAACCGTGTGTCGCTGTCGCAGCTCATCGCATGTGTTGCAAGTCGCTTGTCGCGTCGCAGAACGTTGTACAGTCGTCCCTCTCTAATCCGGCACTTGTTTATCCGGAACCCTTGCCAACCGGCGCACTTTCTGACGAAACCGATTTTTTTCGTTCGATTCCTACATCTTAATCCGGCACTTGAATTCCGCCTCCAGCAGTGACTTTTTGAAACGAATCGCTCAAACTGCACGTATACGCGCGTAGTTTGATTTCATAATCTTTTTTTTTATTATTATTTTTTTACTGTAACAACAGCCTCTTTTACGGGCAAGATTAAAAATTAAAAGCAACACAATGATGAGAAAACAAGAGGGGTAAACACAATAACTTTATCAAAGCTGTTGACTCACGCCTACACACATACACACACACACACAGAGGATAACAATGATACTCAGTACCTAGACTGCAGGAGTTGCAAAGAAAGTTAAATCAATGCAGCCTGATTTCATAATCCGGCGGTCGTAAATCACGTACGGAGCAGGTGCACTCCTTGCCAGGCCGGCCAGGCTAGGCCAGCTGGTCGGTGCCGCGCGCGCGGGGCCACTTCAGAGTTCAGTTCAGTTG